ACGCTCACAAAGTTACTTATTTTTAATGTCAATATATTATTGTTAGGTGTAACTTCCTCTGGTGGCGCCACCGTCATGCGGCGTGTCTATAAAAGGCTGCGAAACCCGGTGTGCGGCCTCTTTTGGTCGACAGACGTGCTCTCGAACGAATCTCCGTATCAGACCGTGTTTGCTTTATAAGTTCTTTTACTGATTTTGTTCAAATTAATTATACGATTTGTTATAAGTTTCTTTTATTTAATTAAATTTAGAGGATATTCCTAACATCAGAAGTGGGATTCGAGGCCATTTTGGTCGCGAATAACATTTTTGACTAAGGATTGTTTACATGTCGAGTAGAAAACGCCCATCGTTACGAGAGCACGCGTCTCCGTTCTCCACCTATCAAATATAGGTGAACTAGCTGCGTTAATAGACGCAAGTCTCAACAATTGGTGTCGCTGGAACAACGTGCGGTAGCTCAGCGAAACAGGGGTTCGCATATAGCTGCCGACGTAGATGCTGACGACGTGCCTGCGCCGGCACCGGCCCCGCCACGCTGTCGCCGCCCGCGCAGACAGTCGGCGCGCCAGCCGGACCCGCCAACACGGCGCCAACGAGCGCACCTGGTGCGGTGGCGCGATCGGTTGCTACCTCAACAGACATTACGAAACGTCTTATCGACGCTTAATGTCTTGAATCTGGTGAGATCTTTCCATTTTTATATTTCATACTTTTAAGTATGCGCAACATTGACGAATAGTTGCGATGAAGTAGATCGTGGTCATTCACCGACATCAACCGACAGACTGTGTCAGTTTTGTCTTTAAAAGGTGAAGCAAGCTCGTAGTAACGTGAGTGGGCTAGTGATGATCATACTTGGTCATATATGATAGCAAACTACGTAGTATAGAAGTAGATTCTCAAATACGGTGCTATAGTTGCAATATAGTCGGGTAGTATAGAAGTAAATTTAGTTCTTTTGAAAAATAACCTACGGACAAAATCGTATATGCGTTTTATAAGAAGATAGGTCATACTGAATACGTTTACTTTATAAAGAAATAATCTGAATTAGGCTAACGCAAATTTTCGCCGTGACTTGGACTAATGATAATGCACATCGCGACGAAATTACCGCCGTAATATGCGGGTACCCACAGATGTTTAGTACGATAGTGGTTCAACAACTTCTTTTAAATCAGATGATCGTTTTCGTGTTGTAAGATGCACATTATGCTGTTTAGACGAAACTGATATGCGGTCTGATTATTTTCTTACTTTCTTCACAAATTACATAATTTTAGTTTTATTATATAAATGCTATCAAATAAAAATCACAAATATAATTTGTGGGAAATCTGGAGCCCAAACTAAGCCATAGCCTGTAACTTAGACACCAGGTCTCCCCTTCATATAAATTAGTTATACATCTAGTTTTAAGTTTAAACGTGGAGTGCATTGAGCATGTGTGTGTCTGTGTATGTGTGTGTGTGTGTGTGTGTGTGTGTGTATGTGTGCGTATGTGCGTATGTGTGTATGTGTGTGAGTGAGTGATCTATGTAAAATTTATATATAAACTTATAATTTATATTTACTTATATTTACATGTGTGTATTTAATTTATGTATATTATAGTTTTATTACACTGCATATATTTTCCGTTTAATCGTAATTTTGTTTTAAAAGCCATTTTGTAACTTTATATTTACATTCTCCCAAATTACTTCGAGATATATACAATAATTTATTTATTCTGTTATATAGGAATCTACTTTGAAATAAGTAAAATCGCTGTGCAAATGTAGTTTTCACATTTGAGTGCTCACATACTTGGAGATACCTTCTAGTATTGGAAATGGTTTTTGCACTATTCTGCGTTACAGTGGAATGGGTAGTTATAATTGTGTGAAGTATATATAGTTGTCGCACAGTCAGTATCTCAGCTTCTCCATACAACTCTGTGGTAGGGTGAAGACGTGGTTTAGAGAGCATCACTTTCAGCAACATTCTCTGCGCCCTTTCTAAGGTTATTAACTTGGTCTTCACACATCCACCCCATGAAGTGATGCAGTATATTAATATTGAATGTACTAGTGCATAATAAACTGTTTTTATTGTTTTTATATCTGCGACCTCGCGTAGTTGCCTGAAGACATAACTGAGCTTACGAATTTTTTGTGAGATCGTGTGTATGTGTTTTTCAAATGATAAATTTGAGTCAATATGTACACCAAGATATTTAATAGATTGAGTAGCATTAATTTTGGGACAATTACAATTTTGTATTATTGGGAAACTGCATTTATGCGCTTGAATTGTATGATTAGAGTCAGGTAAATTGGCATGATTTTTAATTGAAAATACTATATACTTCGTTTTATCATCATTTAGTGTTAGAGAGTTTGTCATCAGCCAATGGCATACCTTATCAAAACCAATTTGAGCAACATTAAAAAGTTCACTCCAGGATTCTGCATAAAATGTTAGGGTAGTATCATCCGCATATGACGCTATTCGGCAATTTTTTATATTAAGCTGACACAGTTCATTGATATAGCACAGGAACAACGTAGGACCCAATATACTGCCTTGTGGAACACCCAGTGTAATTGGTATATCCGTACTTACATTATCACCTATTTTAACTAGCTGTGTTCTATTTTTGAGGTAATCTGTTAATAGTGCCAATGGTGAACCCCTAACACCTAGGTTACTGAGCTTGTTTACAAGTTTTTGTGGAGAAACTGTGTCAAAAGCCCGAGCGAGATCGAGAAATATAGTTAAGCATTTCTTTTTATGATCAATTTTATCAATTAAAAAGTTTGTAAAATCAAGCATCGCATTATCTGTAGATAAACCAGGTCTAAATCCATATTGTGCCTTAGAGAGTAATTTATATTTTTCTAAAAAGGTAATTAGTCTGGAATTTATAATGCGCTCGAATACCTTAGACAATGCAATTCTATCTAGAATTGCAATGGGTCTATAGTTCTCGATACATCCCTTATCACCAGCCTTAAAAATAGGAAGAACTATTGCTTTCTTTAAGACATCAGGAAAAATTCCCTCCTCACAGCATCGATTTATTAAATCAGTAATAACTGGCAATACCGACTGAGATATAGTACTCAATGCCATAGCACTTATTGTATCCCAACCTGGAGAACAGCCTTGTTTAAGTTGCACAATTGTACGCTCTACTTCAGCATTGTCAGTTGGCAAAAGAACAAAAGAATTCAGAGGGATTTGTTGTTCATTAGAAAAAGGTTGAATAGTAGTGGGAACATTATCCGCCAATCGTTTTCCTATATTTGTAAAATATTTGTTAATTTTATTAATTGCTACAATGTGATTTTCGTGGGATTTCAGTAGTTCTAAAGGTAAGGCTTTTCGTGTATTTGTGTTAGTAATTTCTCTGATAGTAGTCCATAGTTTTTTAGAATTATTTTTGTACCTTATTAATTGATCTTTTTCATATTGTTTTTTAACCTTTTTCAGTAAATTATTACAAAAATTCCTATATCTTTTATATGTAATTATCAGAGTATTATTATTTGGATTCTTCCTTACTCTTCCGTGCATTCTGTCTCTTGTACGTATACATCTCAAAATACCTAATGTAATCCACGGCTTTAGTATTCTGTTATTTCTTGGAACCAGTATTTCAATAGAATTATTCTTAATTAATGATATTATTATATTAATAAGTTCCGAGGTCGCAATATTAAGGTCTTTTTCATTGTAAATTTTGTCAAAATTGTAATTTATGCAATCTGTTTTTAGTTTTTCCATATTCAGTTTTGTCTGTGTTTTATGAACAAGAGACTTTATTTTTGTTACGCTGTTTTCCAAGCAAAAAAGAACTGATTGGTGATCAGTGATGGCAGTACAAAGTGTAAAAGTGTATGATTTTAGTTTAGTTTTTAAAATGACATGGTCAAGGCATGCATTCATTCTTGTTGGGGTATAGGTGACTGGGAGGAGACCGTGGAAAGATAAGATATCTAAATACGAGATAGTATTATAGTTATCTGATAGTAAATCTAAATTAATGTCTCCAACTAAAATAATATTTTTAAACGAGGACAATGTCTCCAAAATGTTATTCAATGAGTTTAAAAAGATGTCCAGTGAGTGAAAACTGGGTGGTCTATATATGGCAAGTACAGCAGTATCCAGACCAATCTTAATAATCAAGCAGTTAGCTTCTTGTAGATTAGCTTCCTCAACTATATGGGTCAAATTAGTTTTTATATATGCAACCACACCATCGTTTTGGTTATAATTATCATAAGTTCGATAAGTGGAATATTCTGGCAATGAGGGTAAGTTTACTACATTCGATAACCAGCACTCTGATAACACAATTATATCACACGTAAACTTTAACCTACCCAGTAATATATTAAATTCATCATAATTACGATTTATGCTGCGTATATTTTGTTGTAAAATTTTTAAGTAATTTCCAGAATATTCAATAAGCGATGAGCACGCTTCCGGCTCACAATTAATTGGAATAGTAATGTTAAACTGGTCAATACATTCTAATAATTTACTTGTATTATCGAATTTTGTTTATAATAATTGTATGTGAAGTTTTATAAGTAGCTACATTATACTTAGATACTGTACACAATCTGTTCTGGCAGTATTTTCTGAGATTGTGATTCACAGCGCTAGCACTAATCGGAGCGCATACTATCCATAAGTATGATATATATAAACATGTCACTTGAAACATTGTGAGATAGCTATAAAATTTGTTTATGTTGTTCAGAAGGTATTGTTGTTGTATAAACCAATGGAAATATGTGTATTTTTTAGCAGTGCATAGTATTGTATAAGTATGTCTTAGAAATACGATGAAACATATTAAAACAAAAGTTTTATATAATATATGTTTGAACGCAGAATAAGTTTGTAAATATTTATGTATATATGTAAAGTGTATAATTAGTTTGTATATGTCATCTCCTTTATTATGTATATATTTTAATTGATATATATGTGTATTAATGGTATGTGTTTTTAATGGGTAAAATATTGTGCAATAAAAAGATATTCTATAATTAAGCATGCAGTAAAGACCAACAGTAGAACATACAAGCAGGTAAAATGAATACAATTCTAGTCATTGTGATTTCAGGTTTGAAATGTCTTCTTCACTTGTAATATGAATTGCCGGCAGCCCACTTTTCTTTCGTATAAAGACTTTTCCCTTCGTAGTCCAGGTACCCAGGAAGTTATAATTTTTAACACATTCTCTTGCTAAGAAATAAAGTCTTCTTCCATTGGTTGTGAGATTTTCTGATATATACACTGGTGTAGGTTGTCCTTTAAGCTTCAGGTGGGATGTATTAAATTTTATTGTACTATTTTTATTGAAAAATTTCGCAGCCCCGATAATTTTTTCTTTTAGCGATTTGGTTGTAAATTCCACTATAATTGGACCAATTTTATTCGATGTTCTCTTAATCCTGTATATATTCTGAAGATCCTCCCTGCGTATAGGCACATCAAGAGCCAAACCAACATTTTGTGCCAGTTTAACCAAGGATGACTCATCCTCCTTTTCTTCTTGAGGAATATTTTTTATTTCCAGGAACGCAGCTTTTGAATTCCGCTCAAGTAACTCGACTTTTTGTTCCAACAACTTAATTTGTCTTTTAAATGTTGTGTTTTCTGATTTGGTTTGCTTTAATTGGTTTAAAATATCATCATATTTTTCAGACATATATTGAAGAGATTGTTTGATGTCATTGTTTTGCTGTAACATTTTTTTCATTTCCTGGTCGAATTTTTGTGTTTGAGTATCCTGTTTTTGAGTTAAATTATTTATCATTTCTTTAATTTCAGATAAGGTTGAGTCACCGTGTTTACGTTTAGGACGTTGAGTTATGTACTTTGAACTTTCATTGTCCGGTTCAGATACCCTGTCAGATGCTGTGTCTGATTCCTGAGTCATTTTAATTGGTTTTAGGAACACTTGTGGCGCTTTTTCTGGAGGAGTTCGTCGACAAGACATAACTTTACAAAGTTTGTTTTGCTGTTTAGGCCTATTTGTTCCGTCGGCGCTTGCACTTCGATATTGTAATTTAAAATTTTCTTACTTTATCTGCAAAATTCAATAACATCTCACAAGAAGTAACTTCTTAATACCTTGTGAATATCTGAAACACGCCAGTACTTATTGGTAACGATATTTTAATATTAAAAGACATTGCGTATACGAAATAACGATTTTTAGCGTAATTTTAGAAACTGCTCTTTTGAAAATGATATAACGCGTAGTGAATCGATAGCGCGACTTCAATTGATAAATACACCATTCCGTGGTGATGACAAAGAAAATTTGTAAACATTCTGAATACTTTTTAGTGGCTCAGTCACAGCTATGGTCAATACCGTATAGAGATACACATTCGACTACTTGTTAACGAAGTAGCGTTATGTAGGTACGAAGGTTAATTACCGAATCGACCATATAAATTATTTTACGGTTATAAATTAAGCATGCGTGTGAAAATCCAGGTTTACAATTAATTTCCACTAAATGTAATTACCTCGCTCCTGAGTTTGTGTATCCTAGGAGACTGGAACTATTTGTAAGAGTCAGGTCAGGCCGAGCGTATACAAATAGAAATGATGGATTCTTCGTTCAAACAAATTTCAATTTGAGCACTTCATTCAATCATCAAGTAATACTTATTTTTTAATCTTCCGCGTGAACTATCTTATCATGTAAGGACGAGCGAGGAAGACTAAGTCTGTTGCTCTTTTGAACACTTGTGATAACTCTACATTTTAAATTAAAATGTGTGAATACAAACTGCCAATTAGTACTAAATCATTAAAATCTAAATATTAAATACGCAATCAATTGGTTGATTAAGTAAATAAGATTAAAGCGGTGTTAGAGTAGGAAAGTCTCTACAAGCAGTCCTCGTTCATGTTCATGAACTGATCAAATGCAAACAATAAGATGTAAGGAGAGCTGACACGGTTTGTGCAGTATTTAGTGGATAGTATTTAGTGATACTAGTCAGCTATCTTAGGCGGTATATCCCGTGATACACCCAAATCGCCTCTTGAAATTTTAACGAGGGAAAGAATAGAAACTAGATGACATCATCTCTATATTGGCTAGTCAATCCGCGTTGCTCTTCTTTGACCATTTCCGGACTGAAGTCCATACGGATGCAAGTGCACTAGGTTACGGTACTAATTCAAATAGGAAAGGACGGACGCATATACGCAGTAGCTTTACAATATGTGCAGATCCAAGGTACTACTCCTGAGCTCGAGATACTTGCTGTTGTCAAGACGTTGCAACATCGTCATCTCATCGGAAAACATTTTAGGGTAGTAACTAACTGCAGCGCCCTGAAAATTACACGAGGATCTCTTGCCTAGGGTAGTGCGCTGGTGAATGTGCCTACAGGATCGTGATTTGACGTTTGAATATCGTAAAGGTTAGTTCATATCTCACGCATCGAAATCCTTTTAATAACCTCACGAATCGTAGTAGCATATGCTGCTGATGAGGAAACTACTTGTGCAAGGGCAGTTGAATAGTTTGCGATATATAAAGAAAATAAATCTTAAAGAAAATAATTATTAACATATCTCTATAGGAAAAAGTCGCGATTATTGTTATATTTCTAAAGACTACGTGTTGACCATATTGACGTGGAAACGTTGTCGAGTTCAAATTAGTTGACGGTTTCAAAGTAGGGTCCATCTTGTAAAGAAATATTATAGGGCACGGAATCGTTTGTTTAATGTGTAAACATGTTACCTTATACCTTATATCACGTTCCTCTCCACCCAACGTCCAGGTCCACTATACTTTCAATACCTTATGATGCAGTACGTAAAATGTAACAAATACAAATATATTCTCGTACACACAGATGCTTTCTCTATTGTTCTAACCTATACAGAGTCAAAATAGTGCAGAGTCAAAAAGGAATTTGAGTTTTTCAAATGTAATTTGTATTTTTGAGATAAATTTTATCGTAAGGTATTTAGGTAACACCTCGTGTAAGGCTTTGTGCAGCATCGAGCTTGTTATAGGATACACCTCGTCTAAGGCTTTGTGCAGCGTCGAGTGTGTAATAGGTAGCACCTCGTATAAGGCTTTGTGCAGCATCGAGTGTGTTATACGATACACCTCGTGTAAGGCTTTGTGCAGCATCGAGTGTGTTATAAGATACACCTTGTGTAAGGCTTTGTGCAGCATCGAGTGTGTTATAAGATACACCTCGTGTAAGGCTTTGTGCAGCATCGAGCGCGATATAAGATACACCTAGTGTACGGCTTTGTGCAGCATCCAGCTTGTTATAGGTTACTTCTCGTGTAAAGGTTTGTGTGGCTTCTATGCGTACATGCTTAGATCAGATTTAGATTAGTCCATGTGAGGCAACGTGATCCTACTTCCAAAAATAAAATGCTTACCACTAACTTATGGTTCACAGGTTGTGAAGAGTCACTGTTGACTCGTCTCCGAGCAATAGCCCTGAGAATACCTTCAGCCTGGACAGAGCGCATAAGATTAGCAGTCGGACCAGACGACGCGCCGTGACCAGAAAGCATCGGGGACGATGCTCCGTCAGGAGAGGCCGTGTTAGGTGTAACTTCCTCTGGTGGCGCCACCGTCGTGCGGCGCGTCTATAAAAGGCTGCGAAACCCGGTGTGCGGCCTCTTTTGGTCGACAGACGTGCTCTCGAACGAATCTCCGTATCATACCATGTTTGCTTTATAAGTTCTTTTACTGATTTTGTTAAAATTAATTATACGATTTGTTATAATTTTTATTTTATTTAATTAAATTTAGAGCATATTCCTAATATTATAGTAATTAATTTAAAGCGGAGCGGTCGGGGCGAGATGTCACCATTCGGTTTTAACCGTTAGTAGACGAGGTGGTCGGGCGACCTCAGTTGACATACTGTGCGCGGAAAAGGGATGAGGATATGGGGAATAATACCATACCACTTATATGTTTATAAATGGCGTGAACAAAAATCATTAGAATTCTCATTTGATAATTATTTAACGGCTTGGGATCTATTAGAAAACAGATACAATAATAATCGTTTATTAATACACAATCACTGTGAAGTATTGTTCTCTGCGCAGTCGGTTAATAAGGAGTCGGCATCTCAATTACGAAAATTAATCGACACCATTTTGAGAAATATTCGTGCTCTAAAAACTTTAAGCAAACTTACCGATACATGGGTAACTTTAATTACACAACGAGCGTGTGGACATTGGTGCGTTAATATCTACAGCTGTACCACACACTTCATAGATATCGCCGCGAAGCGAGTCTAGTGTTGATTCCATACATAGAACGCACATACTACAAACTTCATCCCATAAAGCTAGCACGCATTACAAAAATAGTAATTACGACCGCAACTCACATTAACGCAAAGCGTATCTATCGTATCTACGGCTTTAATTAAAATAATGGATGGAAGTGGTAAATATCACACAATTCGAGCGCTTTTAGATAACGGGAGTCAACACTCCTACTTCTTTATATCCGATTCATTATGGAAAAAAATTAACATTCCATTGATTGAAGGGAGGGCACAGCTTGATGTATTTTGATACATCTTGCTCGACTTGGGGCGGCCCGAACTGGCGTAGTACCAAGCAGAAAACCAGAGTCAAATAGTGCTGTACTTGCAACAGCACTGTGTTCCTGTGGTGAGTAAGGTGACCAGAGCCCAATGGGAATTGGTAGTGCTGGTATTGGAGGACCTGTGTGTTCAACAGTGCCACGGGATTGCATAGGCGCGATGTGGTGGCGCAGCGTTCAGGGAGACCCGGTGAAACGGTTAACGGCTGGCCGCCCGCAGGTTGTTGGGTTCCCGAACCCAGGGATTACTTAATCTCCGCCCTGGGAGGCTGAACCGCCGTCTGCGCATAATCCCTGGTGTAAAAGTCGTGCCGGAGAAGAAGACCGGAGTGGACCCGGCTGCTACACTAGTGGGGGGACCGGGGGCTCTTCCGGCCGCTGTGCCACTGTTTTTTTTTTTTTATAACACAGGGGACAAACGAGCATGCGGCTCACCTGATGATAAGTGATTACCGCCGCCCATGAGCATCCGCAACACCAGGGGAATTGCAAGTACGTTGTCGGCCTTTTAAAAAGGAATAAGCTCTTTTCTTGAAGGTTTCAATATCGTATCGGTTCGGAAATACCATTGCTGGAAGGTGATTCCACAATGTGGTTGTGCGGGGCAAAAAGTTTCTAGAAAACCGTACTGTGGAAGACCGCCATTCATCCAGATGATCAGGATGGTATTTCAGTTTCTGGCGGGTGGTACGGTGGTGAAACTCAGCAGCTGGTATTAATCCGAACAATTCCTTAGAACACTCCCCGTGATATATGCGGTAGAAAATGCACAGAGATGCAATATCTCGCCGCAAAGCCAATGGGTCGAGTCTGTCACATAGACGTTGATTACCAATGATTCTGGCTACTCGGTTCTGAATGCGGTCAAATGGAAGTAGCTGGTATTGTGGTGCTCCCGCCCAGAGATGAGAACAGTATTCCATATGCGGCCGAATCTGCGCCTTGTATAATTGCAAGCGATGGGCCGCCGTGAAATACCGTCTCACTCTACTGAGCACACCAAGCTTTTTTGAGGCTATTTTAGCCTTGTCCTCCAAATGACCGCAAAACTGAACGTCACTGGATATATCAACGCCAAGGACCTCGAGATTTGGCTTCACATCAAGGAGAGTGTCTTGAAACTGAGGAGATACGATAAATGGAATCTTTTTAGCGGTAAACGCGCAAACTTGTGTGTTAGGGAATTTACTCTCTGCTACCAAAATGTTAGGGAAAGTACTATGTATATATATAGGGAAAAATAGAAGTGGAAGCGTCAGTCACGTACCTGTATGGTTCTGCGGATTTCTTGGGCTTCAGGGTCTCGAAGATATCTTCGCTAGCTTTCCAGTTTCACAGTAGGTTTCACAGTTCTAATTTATTTTAATTCACAACACAATGCGCGCACGTGTCAAGGCCGCTGTACAGTCGGTTCAGTACTAGGT